TCACTTTTAACCACACATTCTCCATTAATTTACTATTCAATAATACATTCTTTAAAAAAAAATGTGTCACAAACACACTCTAAATAAGGTTTTTAATGCGAAGAATAAATCAGCCTATATCCAGTGGAAGTAATAGAAGATATGCCTTTTTTGTTTTTTCAAGGTTTGAGTGTGTTCACTGGAGGCTAGTTTGAATTTTATATCGTGAGGGAAAAGAACAATGGCGGTTGGTCGGAGGGAGAAGAACAGTCAATCATCGATTCGGGGATCGCATATCGCCATCGCAATTGGGATCGGAGTTGTTGCCGGATGCATTTTCGCCTTCTTCTTCCCGAATGGATTCTTCTCCTCTGATCCGCCTACACAAACACAAGTTCGCCGTCTTACCAAATCCAGTCTCGAGGTACCTATTTTCTCTACTAATTGAAATCTCCCCTTTTTCATTTTCTGTACTGTGTCTACATGATTCTGCTCATGCGTAACTAGATAAAATTAATTCTGCTTATGCTTCTTTTGGAGAGGTGCTATCCCAAGGTTTTAAGATTATTAATGAGATGCAATTTGCGGGTTTCATTTATCTTAATTTTGTGATTTATGTAAATTGAGGGGGTCAGTTGACTCCTTTGTTTTAGGGCCCTGAGTTTTTGACTTTATTAGAAGTAACTTGAAAGATTTGATTTTAATTTAATTATAACGTTCTTGCAAAACTGTAATTATTCTAGACATATCAGTCCCTCAAGAAACAAACAAGGAAAGAGAATGAAGATCAATAATGGTCTGTGTATAGCTTGAGTTGATGTATAACTTTTTTAATGTAAATGTAATTTTATTCATTGTCAAACTTTTTAAGATGAACTTTGTTGACTTGGTACATAGGATGATTTGTCCTCGTGTGAATCTCCTGAAAAATTAAACATGTTGAAAACGGACATCATGAAATTGTCGGAAAAGAATGGAGAGCTGAAAAAGCAAGTAAGGGAGCTGAATGAAAAATTACGTCTAGCTGAGCAGGGAAAAGACCATGCGCAGGAGCAGTTTATGGTGCTGAGTGAACCTCATAAAGCTGGGCCTTTTGGCACAGTTAAGGCTTTAAGAACTAACCCAACCGTCCTGCCTGATGAAGGTGTGAACCCGAGACTTGCAAAGCTCTTGGCTGAGGTTGCTGTTGGAAAAGAACTTATAGTTGCTCTTGCCAATTCGAATGTGATAGCCATGCTTGAGGTCTGGTTCACCAGCATTAAGAAAGTTGGTATTCCTAACTACCTCGTAGTTGCATTAGATGATGCAATTGTGGATTTTTGCAAGTCAAATGATGTCCCTGTGTACAAGAGGGACCCTGATGAAGTTATCGACAATGTTGGAAAGATAGGAGGTAATCATGCTGTCTCCGGACTGAAATTCCGAATCTTGAGGGAGTTTCTGCAGCTGGGATACAGTGTTCTACTTTCAGATGTTGATATAGTGTACTTACAGAATCCATTTGATCATTTGCATCGGGACTCAGATGTAGAGTCAATGACAGATGGTCATAACAATATGCCATCATATGGCTATAATGATGTTTTTGATGAACCTGCGATGGCTTGGGCTCGGTACGCTCACACAATCAGGATATGGGT